TTCCCTAACACACTCATAGACCCAGAGGAACAGACTTCCACCTTCAGCTTCCTCTGTGCAAAAATGAAGTTTATTTTCTACCTAGGGGGACTTTTTACCCCCTTTAAATTTTCCCTGAGCCTGAGGAAGGGCATGTGCACCCAAAAGCTTGCAGAAAAATATAATTTTTTTTGTGATATCTTAGTTGGTCTAACAGAACCAAGAGTTTTGCATTTCTTTTTGTCTCTGACCAACACAACTGTACCAGATGCATCCTTTCCCTGAAGAACATTTGCTAATCTTGGTCCGTAGGTGGCAGCAGCCTTCTGCTGTTGGGAGATGAACCTTTTGGTTCGGGAGATGAGGCTTAAATTCTGTGTTCAGAAGTGCTCAGAGTTTCTGAGACCCAAGAAGGGGGGAAAAAACCCCCAAAAACACAAAACACAACTTAACTTCTCTGAAACTAATATTCCACCCCCAACTCTTCCTTCTGCAGCCTTAAAAGAGCAGGCACAAGGAACAGGACTGTGGGTATTGGTCTTGAATAACCCAGATGTTGCTCCTGCTGCAGATAGCGAGCTCGATATGAAGACTCGGAGCACAGCAGGAGGCTCCAAGGGGCCCATGAGACTCGAATTGAAAGGGTCTTTACTAGTGCATCTGGGAAGGCAAAATGGTTTGGGATGGGAACATGCAGCCCCAGCATCGCGTAGTCAACTATTAATGGTAAGCGACAGGGGAGGCAATTCGTCTTCTGGGTGTTGTAAACCTCTCCGAAGCTATAAAACTCCAGGGTTTGGGCATCCTGAATACAGCCTTTTGGTTTAAGCACACACTCAAATGCACACTTAGCAGCTCCGATGAATAGGGATGGATTTCAGAACAATCTTGAGCCTTTTGATGAACTGGTGCCCCAGACATCTTTAATCCGAAAATACATTTCTTTAAAAGGTGACTGAAACACACAGCCATTACACAACAGGCGAGTGCCACCATCACCTGCAGCAAGGTGGATGTAGGCACCAGGTCATCATTTGCAGCAAGATATTTCTAGGCACGGCTGTTAAACATCAACCCCTCGGAGTTGCAAAAAAATAAATAAATAAATAAATAAATGTGGGATTGCTAGGTCTTCTCCCCCTATAGACATGTCTCTCTTTGAAGAAAGACATTCATTCTCGCTCAAGTCTATGCAGACAACAGTTCTTTAAAATGTCAGATGCAAGTAAATAAATACACTGAGCAAAGTAGCAGGAGTAATAAAAACAGTGGAGCTAAAGAACGGTTATAAAGTATTAAACTAGAAGCAAATCTGAACTAAAAGCTTCTTTGAAGATGATTATTAAGCACAGAGTCTCGGGAGTCCTTAGTTCTAGGAGCTATAGAAACACATAGATCCTGCAATGACTTTTGTAGGCGGACTCAATTTAACTGGGATTATATTAAATTAATCAAATAC